CCCACAGGACTTAATTGGCCATGCTGACGATAACTTTCAGCTGGACCAATTCAGGAGCACATCTGACAATAACTATGATGAGACATTCTTACTCTCTAAGGATGAGAAAAGCAAGTCTCTGCGAGATGATACAACCTATCTTTCTAAGAAGGTAAAACCAGGAGTCTGTCTGGACAGCAAAGCCTTGGGCAAGCCGCCATTTCTCTGGGCCCCAGTTTCCTTGTTGAAAAGGCCAGGGCAGGGACGCCTCTGTCTACCGCTCCAGGTTGGCGTGAGAAATCCGGTGATGTCATGCTCTGACCAATGTGTGGTCGTATGAAAATGGAAGGAGGTGGATCGTAGTGTTAAAAACAATGATGCCTGTGTTCAAAGGGTTGCTTGTAATTATTTGTTTTCTTGATTTGAAGATGAAGCACTTCCCGAGAATGTCTGAAGAGGAAGAGTCGTTCCTCTTTGATAACGGCCATTTGAAAATAGTTTTCCACCAGGGACTGTTGTTATGAAATATGAATAGGAGTATGTGGAAGAACAATTAAATAATTTGTATTTTAGTGTTTATGAAGCACTTTCTTAAAATTTTTTTAATGCTTATTTTTGAGAGAGAGAGAGAGTGCAAGCGGCAGAGGGACAGAGAGAGAGGGAGACACAGAATCCAAAGCAGGCTCCAGGCACCAAGCTGTCAGCAGAGAGCCCTACGCTGGGCTTGAACTTGCAAACCTCAAGATCATGACCTGAGCCGAAGTCGGACACTTAACTGACTGAGCCACCTAGGTGCCCCACGAAGCACTTTCAAATCCATGGCCCATTGAGCCATTTCGTGGTGAAGACTACAGCTTTGGCATTTGGCAAACCTGTGATAGGTTCCTAAGTCCAGCACTTACTAGCTGTGTGAGTGGGCAAGGCACTTAACCTCTCCAAACCTCAGTTTCTTCATCTGTAAAAGGGGATGATTCTATTCAAAGAGTAGTTTAGAGTATTTAGTGTGGTGATGCATACAGAGCACCTCAAATAGCCTGGCACAAGGTAAGTGCTCAGTAATCCTAGCTAATATTATTTGCGTTGTTTGTAACGCCATCCTCATGATCTCGCTGATGAGGTCCATGGTATTATGTGCCCCATTCCTGAGAAGAGAAACATGTGACTCACAGACAGTCTTGCCTGGGGTGGCCTGGCTGGTGGGTAACAAAGCCAACCCAGGCTCTAGCTCCAGCCCGTGGTCCCTGACCTCACAGTTGCTGAATATTCGACTGGTTGATGCTGCTTCATATTCAAAGACCTTTGTTTGTGGTAATAAGAGCTCTTTGTTGGTGGCCAGAAGGAGTGGCCTCCAGCCAGGGCTCTGACCCTTTAGCCTCCAGGCACACTGCGCCCCCCCCCCCCCACCGCACTCCCCACATTTGCTTTAGGAACTGCTGTTACTAATGGAAGTGTGTCATTTCCTCAGGGTGTGTTGGAGCAGGGAAATGCAAGGTTGAGTGAGATTCACAGGCTTGCACTTGGCAGCTGGCAGGGCTCCAGGTGCGTGTCTGTGTGTCATCTGCAGTGGGACAGCTGTTCCGTTGTGCCTGAACGTGCTTATCAGAGAGGCAAACATTACAGATCTGCACCGTCAGACTCCAACTCAGACAGCCCGGCCTTGGCTGGTCCCCCACTCCCCAGCACCCCCTCCTCATAATAGCTGTAAGTACACTTTATGGAGCCACTGTGTGCCAGGCGCTAAGTGTTTCTCCCTATGCGGTTGCCTTTAACGCGCATAAGCCGGCCCCTGTGGTGGGTCCCATCCTTAGCTCTGCAGCCCCCAGAGGGATCCTCTAAAATGTGGTCAGATCGGGACATGTTTCGCCTCTGAACCCTCAGTGGCTTCCTGTCTGCCACATCCAAGGGGCATTCCTGACCCATAGAGTCTCACTCGGTGTGGCCCCAGCCACCTCTCCGACCTCCACTTTTCCATGCTCCCTGTCCCAGTTACCTATTGTTGCTAACAGACTACTCCGAACGTGATGGCTTAGGCCATTTTATGGTTTCTGCTGATTCTGTGCATCAGGAAATCAGCAGGGCATGGAAGAGATGTTTTGCTCGGCCGCATGTCATGTCTGTTGGGTCTGGAGCGTCCAGTTAGTCCCTTCCTGCCCCTGGTGGTGCTAAAAGTGAGGGTGACCCAAGGGCTGGGGGCAGCTACAGCAGCTGCTGGGGTCAGAGCTGGGGTCTCTGGTTCTCACTGTCTGCTGGTTCCTCACTTCTCTTCCTTGGACACCCGGGGCTTCTTCCTCTCCACTTGCCAACTTTCTACACGACAGCCTCGGCGTCCCAAGAACACAAAAGCGGACGCCTCTAGGCCTTTCAAGGATTGGGGCTACAGATGGCAGAGAAACACTTCTGTTGCGACCTTTGGTTAAAGCAAGTCACAGATCCAGTTGATTCAAGGGGAGGGGACCGCAGAGGGGCTGGTGTGGTTCATCACAGGTCAGCAACTCCAGAACCTATCACTGCCTGTTCATTCACTCCTCTCCAGCCACACAGACCTCTGTGCCCTTCCTTAAGCATGCCGCACACACCCCAGCCTTGGGGCCTTTGCGTTTGCTGTTTCCCTCCCCTTGGATTCCCTTCCCCAAATATACACAGGGATCAGGTCCTCTATTCAACCTCGGCTTAAATGCTACTTTAGTACCAAGATCATACCCTACCTACCTTATCAGAAACAGTGCCTTCCTTCCACATGTCACCTGTCTCCTTACCCCCCTCTGGTTTTGTTTTTGTACTTTTCACCTCCTGGTGTATTTATCACCTACTTACTGTCTAATCTTCCCCTGTCCCCACCCCAGAATATAAGTGCCATGTGAGTAGGGCATTTGCTTTGTTTACCGCAGTGTTCCTAGCTCTAGATCTGACCCGTGGTAGCCACATTTGGTGAATGAATGAGTATTTGAGATGAGGAGAGTGAAGTTCAGAGAGGTTAAGTAACTTTCCCAAAGACACACACACTAATATTCGACAGAGCTAAGATTCAAATCCAGGGTTAATCCATGAAGCCTTAGAAGTTTCACTACCTGTAGGGGTAATTGCTGCTTAGGTAATTATGGCTGTTTCCTATTTCCTCTCCCTGTTTCCTGTCTCCACTCAAGGTGGTTTTCCCACAACTAAAATTGGATCAGGCATAAACCCATCTTGAAGGGGCATCCTCACCTTCCGCAGAAGGCCCTCCTTTCTTAGACTGCTGCACAAGGCACAGCAAAATTTGGCCTCCAGCTGTAGCCTGGTGTGGTAGAGCAAATAATAGATTTTTGAGTCAGGCAGACCTCATTCTGTTTCCAGCGCCCCCACTCATTAGGCTAAGCATGGGCAAATTAGGAATGTCATCCATCCACCCATCCATCCATCCATCCATCCATCCATCCATCCACCCACCCATCCATCCACCTAATGAGTCTTTATTGAATTCCTCTCTGAGTCAGGGACAGTGCTAGGTTCCAGGGTGCATTGGTGAAGACATCATCACCGCCCCAGCCTTCCGAGAACTTCTAGTCCACTGGAAGGGAAAGATGTGCTCACACAGTCACACAAATAAATTTATTTACAAATACTCTACTTATTTACTTATTGTGATAAGTACTGTAAAGGACTTAGTGTATGTGTAGGGGGGAATGGCACCTGTAATAGTGCAATGGGGCAGGGGCGGTTTCCCTGAGTAAGTGACGTTTGAGTGGGAGCTAATGGGATAAACAGATGTGGCAAGTTCATTCCAGGCAGAGGGAACAGCATATGCAAAGGTTCTGAGGAGGAGGGAGCAGGGCCCATCTTAGTGTCTGAAAGATCCTAAGAAATGTGTGGTCGGAGGGCAGAGAGCCTGAGGAACTGGAGACACAGATGGGAATCCAACCAGGCAGGGCTTTGAGGGGCCTGGGCATGGGGTTGGGGAACCCATCAGCTTTATTTTTTCATCTGTAAAATGGGAATGGCAACAGTACCTCCCTCAGTCTGAGTGAGCAGCTGTGGCCAGCTGGGTGACAGCAGGGTGTGGCGAATCTCAGCTGGGTTGATCATCCTCTGCTGCAATGGTCTCATCCTCCAGTGGGTTAGCATTGGGCTTGTTCACAAGGCAGCAGCTGGGAGCCAGAGAGCAGCAGAAGCCAGCGAGGCTTAGGAAGGGGCACAGCATCGCTTCTGCTGCATCCTGTTGGTCCGAGCAGATCACAAGGCCGACCCAGATCCATGAGTGCATGTGAAACTCTCCACACAGTGCCTGGTGCACAGGAAATGCTCTGTAAATGCGATTATTATTGTTGTTGCTATTGATGTTATCATCGTGCATTTGCATAGTGCTTTATGCTTTTCAAAGTTTTGTCCTATACATCATTATAGCCTACACTATGTGAAGAGAGTTGGGGCAAATGGTACCAGCCCCATTTGACAAATGTGGAAGAGTTCACATAACTGTCTCAGGTCACACATTTAGCTGGTGGCTGCAGCCAAACACTAGAACTCAGATATCATGTAACCTAACGCATATTTGCACACACATCTGCTGAAAGTGAACCCATTTGTGGATGATGTCGTCATCCCGAGCACCGTCCTGGTAAACAGAATAATTTAGATACAAATGTTTTAGGGGCGCCTGGGTGGTTCAGTCAGTTGGGCGTCCGACTTCAGCTCAGGTCATGATCTCACAGCCTGTGAGTTCGGGTTCCACGTCGGGCTCTGTGCTGACAGCTCGGAGTCTGGAGCCTGCTTCAGATTCTGTGTCTCCCTGTCTCTCTGCCCCTCCCCCACTCATGCTCTGTCTCACTCTGTCTCTCAAAAATAAATAAATGTTAAAAAATTTTTTTTTGAATACATTAAAAAAAAGATACAAATGTTTTTGTCTGTGGCACAGGCTAGTGACCATCTGCCAGGTTTGGGTATGGCCTCTGAGACTCAAGTTCTCCTATGCAAGTTTTGTGTTTTTGGCTCCCAGGCTCAGTGGGGTCACTGATGATTCTCTTTTTTCTTGCTCAGAGAACCTCTCGTTGGACTCCAGTTGCTTTTCCTCTCCACCTGTGAATTTCCTTCAAGAATTGCCAAGCTATCGGTCCATTGCACGCAAGAGGACGACCATTCCTACCCGAGAGAAGCAAAGTGGCACTTTGCTAAAGCCGACAGACTCTTACAGCTCCCAGTTGGAAGGAGGAATCACTGAAAACCTCAATAGCCAATCGATTCGGAAGTATGCACTGAACATCTCTGAGAAGCGGAGGCTAAGGTTTGTTCAGTAGCCATCTGGAAGGCATTTGATGTATGTTTTAGGCACGGGTGTGTTGTATGCATGGAATGCATTTCCTGAAGAGTTCATGTAATTAGAAATGTATTACTTAAGGTAATCCACACTGCAGTGACAAAGTTACCCGAACATGTAATAACTCAACATATTAGAAATTTCTTTCTTTCTTTTTTTTTTTTAATGTTTTATTTATTTTTGAGAGAGAGAGAGAGAGAGAGAGCACAAGAAGCAGGTCGGGGAGGGGTGCAGAGAACAGAGGATCAAAACAGGCTCTGTACTGACAGCACAGAGCCACATGCAGGGCTGGAACTCACAAATGGTGAGATCGTGACCTGAGCTGCTGACCTGATGTCAGACACTCAACCAGCTGAGTCACCCAGGTGCCTCTAGAAGTTTATTTCTTGTTCACATAAAAGTCCTGGGTTCAGATCAAGGGGGAACTTTGTAGTCATTCAGGGACCAAGGCTCCCTCCGTCTTGTAGCTCTGCAAACCCCCAAAGCCTCATCGTCTGTAGTTACTCCTCTCTGTTTCCCCTCCCCTCAGCTACTAATCTACTCTTTGTCTTTAGATTTGCCATTCTGGACATTTCATATAAATGGAATCTTACAACATGTGACCTTTTGTACCTGGCTTCTTTCACTTAGCATCATGTTTTCAAAGTTCATCCAAGTGGTGGTGTATATCAGTATGCAGTTCCCTTTTTTTTTGCCTTTAACAAGGAGTGGCTTTATTTATTTATTTTTTTCTGATTTGAATATTTTATTTTATTTTATTTTTTTAATGTATGAAATTTATTGTCAAATTGGTTTCCATACAACACCCAGTGCTCATCCCAAAAGATGCCCTCTTCAATACCCATCACCCA